ACTACTATGGGCGTAAGTCTTTATATCCTGTTGGCGTATTTTGTGCTCTTCAAGTGATTAGTGGGCGCAAAGTATGCCCATGGGCACAAAGTAAGACTTTCCACCCTTGAAAATAAAAGCGACGCTGGCATTTTGGGCACAAACATACAAGAACCCCTTTGGGTAAAATTTTTTTGGTTTTTTGTCTATGGTACGAAACCTTTTTTTTATCGTACTTTGTATTAGCTCTAAATTAAATTTTTGTTATCCTTAGCTACACAACATTCAATCTACTGATAATAATTTTTTTTCACACATTTAGGCTGGGTTTAAACTTTCAAGTAATTGTTTTTATCAGAAACTATTTTTCATTCATTTTTAATGTATAGTAATTGAAGTACTGTGTAACTATGTTTACAAAAAACAAACTATTATGTTTTTCACTCTGTTTTCATTAGATTGTAATAACTTGCGTTGATACGTTGCAAAATTTTATAGTTATTTGATTTTTCCCCATTTTTTTGGCTACGATTCGCTCTTTTTCAGATAAAAATATTAATGTGTATTCATAGTATATTCTTATATTTTTTATAAGGCAAGCGAATTGATAAAGTTTCTGGCAACATCGGGGAGAGGTGTCGTAAGGTATTATGTGTGACTTGTTAAAGAATGATACGGTGGTGGTTGGAAAAAAAAATAAAAAATAGTATTCAATACAATTATTCCTCATTTCATGGTGACGTGATGTAGGGGTTTGCATGTCCATCATCGGGGGCCATATCAAATTGCACTCCATGGAAATAATAATTATTTAAAAAGCTAAAAAACAAAAGAGATAATACATACAAATGAAATAAAAATTCAAACCATAATGTGTACAATACTTTAAAAATTGATCATGAATATTTAAATCATACAAACGTATTCGTATTTACTATTTTTTTGTAAAGCCCATCGATGTGTCAACTGAGCGATGTTAGCAAAAATTTTGAAACTTAACAAACATACATTATACTTACATACTTGACAATTTTTCCAGATAACTATTTATTCCTTTATGATTCTTCTTGATAATAGCGCAAATGAATATACATTTTATTGTGCATTAATAATCTACGATAAAATATATTTAATTTCATAATATTTTGGTTTCTGAGGATCTACGACGGACAAAAAATTTTATACTAGGGTTTAGTAGTATTAAGTATAGTTTCCCCATGTCCGTTACACTTCCTCCGGCCCCACATTCTTATTTAGTTCCCTCACAGTACCTTTACAGATCCTTAATAGATGCATTTCGCCCCCCCCCCCCCAAACCACATTTGGCTAATTTTTCCTCTATTGAATAAATTTCTGCCCTATAGCAGCCTTTTTCTTACTTTACATAGTTTTCTTTTTATTGGGAGGTATTGAAAATAAGTTCAAATAAGGCTTTGATAAAATGAACGTTAATGAAACTACCACTTATTGCAAACAATTAAAAACCAACAGCATGGTTTTCGTCAACGAAAATGACAAGCTCAATTATGCTGTGATATTTTTAATGTTATAGAATATTACCCGTAAAATTACTAGTTAGAGAGTGGGATTAAGCGCTAACAAGTACTAAGAAATATATTAGTATTGCAAAATATTAGTTTGAGGAAACATATTTATGTTTAGGTTTGAAAAATCAGAGTTTAACCGTATAACATAAAAATAAAACTCACACACACTAAAACAGAATTGTTAATTGTGCTATTTTGTTTTAAAAATGTTTTTTTTATTACGTAACCCAAGAAATAAGGTAAAAAATAAGGATAAAATGATTAACTTGCCATAAAAAAAGCTTAAAATATTGTTTTGTACAATTAATTGGAAGAAAAAAAAATTTATTTTGAAAGAAATCATTGGATCCAATTAAATAATAATGTTCATTTATTATCTAGAACTATCTGACAAAACATTTTTGTGCAAACATTGAATTGCTTTGAGACTTACATACATTTTAAAGTGCTATTATTTGATTACAATCAGATAAAAAAATCGCTCTAAATAGATGTTATTATTCAGGACAAAGCGCCAATGATATCAAAAAAAGGCATTCAAAATCGTCAATTAATTACTTTTATCAAACATTTATATACCATTTAGTGTTAAATGAATAATTTGGGTAGTTATTTAAGTCAATTCGTTCCAATTGTAAAAAAACAAATAAAAATATAATTTTAAAAGTATCAAAATCTCACCAGATAAGTAGTTTTTCTCAAGTATTCTTGCGTAATTCTTGAAAATTTTTTATTATTTTTACTAAAAGCTGAAAAACGTGAAATTGAACTGTTTGAAGATTGAGTTAAAAAATTTGAAATAAGCGATATTGGTTACAAACTTCTTAGAAATGCTGAAGAGTTTACTATTATTTCCTATTATTTTTAAGACCAAATATACCGAATCTTGATGTCACCAGCAGGGCATCAAGTCTACGAGCGTGGCTAGTTAAGACTTGTGATGCCTCGGAGGATGGATCCAGCAGGGCATGGACAATTATGGAGTGGCTCTCGCTCCCATGCAGACTAATAAGTACCATCGGAAAAATTCAGGCCTTGATACTGAGAACAGTGGCTGAGATAGTGGGACTGGCCGTAGAAAGGGTAAGGTGAAGAAGACGTATGAGTGGCTAGTGACCGAATGAAACGGCCACTCTCGTGAAAAGCCTGATGGACTGTTTTCTGAATCCGGCTCGAGAGATTAATGTCTTTATTTACCTTTTTTTAGTGGCAATGGCTTACACATCAAATTAAATTATACAACAAACTGAATGGTAGCGTATTTTGTACCAACGGTAATATGATTAAACAAAATGGATTAAACCACGAGAGTGAGGAGTGCTGCTTACATACTTTAGCTTGCAATACTAATCAGCGTACATTTACTATGCTGTGTCGAGAATCAATATCAATGTGCGCCACTGTAAACCAACATTATGTTCATAATTTTTGGTGGTTGTCATGTTCTTCAACTGATTAGAAATACTTTGACAAAGTGTGATTCTTATATTAACGAAGGTTACGTTATTTTTTAGAATTATTTTAAAAAATAAGTAGATTTATTAGAAATTCAAAGAGCTTATCTGTGGGTACAAAAATTGGATGGCAGTACTAGTTTTGTTCTGCTACTACGAGGTGTTTAATATCCTGAAGCTGATAAAAGCATGTGCAATAAAAACAAGAAATAAATAATCGATACCCTTACACGAATTGGACCACAACGTTTGAACATTGAATTAAAAAAAATCAATATAAAAACTGGAAAATTAATAAACTATGTATTGTTAATTTATTAACATATAGTTTTGGAACATTTAAATGTTTTTGACAGAAATATTTTTTTTATAAAATACTCTTTTTTTAAACTAAGCAGCTTTGATTTTAGTTGTGAAAAAAATTCTACCACTTCTTGTTTATTGTAAATTATTTTATTTACATAGAAAGTTAAAAAATAAAAAAAAAACATTTTAGGTATATTTATAATTATAGTTTGCACATTTACTGTGATATGGCCAGGGACTGATGACGGAAAAAGAACTATAATTCGAGTTTGATCAGATTTTCATTCAATTTTCTGCTCAGGTACATTGCCTGAATTGTTAGCACATTCGTGAGGATTTTAAATGTAAGGGTTTGTAACAGAATTGATACTTCTCAACAATGATTCCAATAGTCCTTACATATTGTATTTTATTATTTAATTATTTGTTTTTTTTCGAATACTTAAGTACTGCGTAAGTCTTTATATCCTGTTGGCGTATTTTGTGCTCTTCAAGTGATTAGTGGGCGCAAAGTATGCCCATGGGCACAAAGTAAGACTTTCCACCCTTGAAAATAAAAGCGACGCTGGCATTTTGGGCACAAACATACAAGAACCCCTTTGGGTAAAATTTTTTTGGTTTTTTGTCTATGGTACGAAACCNAGTCTACGTTAATTAATAGTACATAATCTCACATTAGCTGTTACGTTAACGTTTAAATTGATGATAAATTCCTTTGTAATTAAAAAAAGTATTAGTCTGTAAAGTTATTTAAATGTTCATAGAACGAATCGATAGAAAAAAATCTCAGTTAGAATTCAATACAATAACTAGCAAAAAGTACGAGCAACACAGTCTATGTAGCTATTAAAACAACTGATGTAATGGTATACATGTAGTACATAACTTGCTAAGTTTAGATTTAAATCTGTTGGGAGTACAAAAATAATTTCAAGTGGAAATGTAGCTATTTCATTTTCACTTGTTGTTGTGCGTGCACCAGCCTAACCTAGGTGAGGAGAGGAAAATGATATCTTGCTATTTCTCTCTTTTCGTATCACAGTTTGGGCACACTATGCTTCGCCTACGTACATGTTCACTTGATAAAGCATATAAGCGTTTCATGAATTTCTGCGCACCAGCGATGTACATTCAAAATTAGATAAAACATGCATACCAAACAAAAAATAAGCAATTTTCGTGAGCTGTAATTCGATTTTGAATCACAGTGAATGTGTTTGGAAATCTTTGTTGAAATTTCATGTTTTAAAATTTCAAATTTTCTGTTAAAAACTAACATCAGAACTTTTGAGATAAGTTTTGGATTGTGGAAATATTTTTTATACGACACTTTTAATAATTACAATTAATTTTGTTGCAGTCAGTTTAATATTTAGAATATTAATATGTCAGTATTATTAGATGTCTTCGACACTTTTATGAAAAGGTTTGTGTATCATTTAGAATTTTTGTTATATCGATATACTTGAACATTTCTTTGAAACTTTTCCATATCATAGAGACTTTTTTTATGCTACTTTTTTGCAATTTTCTTGCAACAAATTAAAGACCCTCTTAAGACTTTAAGGATTTATTTTAATTCTTAGTTTTATCAAAATTAGTTGCGTTTGAAGACTAAGCTTTTCATAAATGTGACAGAACTACTTGTAATAAGAAAACTTATATTTTTTTATCATAAGAAATATGAAGTTTTACATGATTAATGATACTTCAGGAAAATGTAGAACTGGAAAGATTCAAATGGTTCAATTCCTTAATTTTATACGCATTTGATCCGAACGAAATTGAAGAATTTTTACGATGTGATCCAGATGTATACTTAATTCCATCGGTAATTGAGAAAGTTGTTCTTCCAAAACTAACAAGTAAGGTAGCACTGTATACGTATGAAAAATAATAATTATCTCTTTTATAATCTATAGCGTATATTTTTTTGTCATTTCAGCAATCGTGGAAAAAATTTGGGATCCAATGTCAACAACCCAAACTCTTCAGTTAGTAAAAATAACTTCACGTTTTATTAAAGAGTATCCAAATCTCAATGAAACAAGTAAACAATTGGAGAAACTTTTTAACACGATTTTGGAACAAATGCGTGTAGCTGTAGAAAACGATGTGTTTATTCCAATATTTCACAAACAGTAAGTGTAAATTTATGCATGTACATTATACGTTGAAATACAATATTACTAAAAGATTTGTATTTTAGTGGCAGTAAAACAAAATTAAGGTTATTATTTGATTTTTACAGAATGGACGCTAAACATCCGTTCTTTCAGCGCCAATTTTCCATGGCTATTAAATTGCTTCGAAATTTATTTAGTTGGCAAGGCCTTATTGGAGATATGATACTTAAAAATATTGCCTTAGGATCGCTATTAAATAGATATATTCTTACGGGATTGCGTGCTTTTCCTACTGCTGATGCACTAGTTAAAGCAAAAATGGTATATTGCGTTATTTACTTGCATGTATCATTTGAAATAAAGTTTTCTTTTAATCTTAACGACAAATATGTGTATAACAGATAATGAACATGTTGCCAAGTGCATGGCTGCAAGGAGATATGCTTGATCACTTGACAATGTTTGCGGAAACAATTTTTAAAGCCAGTAAGCAACTTGATCAAGATAATCCAGATCATGAGTAAGTTAAAATATACACCTATATATATACACATATATATTATACATCTTAGAAGCTTTTAACGTTTTAGTACTGATTTGAATATTTTACTGATTAATAATTTTATGTCTGAATACCTCTGTAATACTGAAACTACCTGGATCATAGCATATATTAATTATTCACTAGAACTGAGGTACACTATTTTCAGAGAAGTTATCGTTTAAAGTGTTATTTATCACAGGGACTGTAAACAACCTATATATTTTTGTATCTCAGCCCCTGGAAACAGTAGTTATGTGTAATCATATTTCTGATTTCTTATAAGTGACTACTTATCTGTATCGTGTCTCTATCTTCATAAACTTTTGTAACAAGAATACAGAGTCAGAACGTTTGTTTTCATTTATCGTTTTCTTATTAGTTTGTAAATATAATTTCCGAAATCTTTGTTTGCATCGCTATTTCTATGTTTGTTGCTCCGTTCATTCCAGCAGCTGGCATTTTATTTCTGTTACTCTTAATCTTAGTCATTGAATTTTTGTTTCATATTTTGGCCTATATTTTAATAGAACCGAAAGCTATTATAAAAATGTAATATATTTGCTTATGAAAGGTTAAGCTCTTACTTCAAGAGTCATAAATTTGGTAAAGATTCCCATGAAATCACATATTCCGTAAATGCAATTTTAGTACAGATTTTTGTGTAAATTTTATGAATGTCTTGTATATTCGTTATTTTTTTATTGTAAATAATTATCGATGTATAATGTTATCTAAATTATTTCTAAATAATAGATCTTTTTCGCGCAGTTTTAAAACGCTAAATATACCTAAATTGTGGACAAATATGTAGCTTCATTGAAATATTTAATTTTATTCATTACGTACGAACTTACAGCTATAATTTTGTATTACATTGAAAATTGATTCAAATTTTTCTTCGAAATAAATATTTGCTTAGGTATGAATTTAATTATTTTGTTTAATATAATACAATTAAANAGAAAACTTGGAAAAAAAAATTTTTTGGAAATAATTTAATGGATAAAGCTTATGATAAAATTGTACTTTATGATTAATTCTTATTGATGAAATATAAATTGTATTAACGTTGACTACTCTGAATCAGTACAAAGCGTGAAGTACATCTATGATTATATTTATCAACGTAGTAACAAAGTGCACATTGAAATCAAAAAATTGGAAGACTGAATGTACAAATATTTAATAAAATTCGTCATTATGTTAATGCTAGATACGTAGGTTTAATAAAAACTGCTTGGAGACTGTAAGATTTTTCAATTTGTGCTAGAAGTTATACAGTTAAGCTGTTCACCTTAAAAATGAACGCTTAATTATACTCGTAGAAAATAATGTTGAAAATATTATAAGAAACTACCAAACACAATATAATTTTTTAACAAAAATTGAAAGACTAACACTATTGCGTAGACATTTTACTAATCCAGAAGTAAAAGAAATACAGAATTCTATTCATAATGTGGAAGATTCAGTACAAATTATGTTTTTAATAGACACATGAAAAACGTATATTTGATAAAATGAAGAATTTTCGAATTATTACTATAACAAACATTTAAGTAGTATCCATTTATAACAGTTATTTTCAATGAAGATTTTTTTGTTTCATAACAAAAACAAATAAAATTTTTAGTCATGATAAAAAACATCAGTCGTAAAATGAATTCATAAAAGATTGTATTAAAATACACATTTCATACAAACTCTATAATAACATTGCTTGAGCACTTGTACACAGTTCATGATAGACATTTTTTAATTTATCCGCATAATAAAAGTTAAAATTTTAAATTTAGTTCATATTTAGGGAAAAAAATAATAAAAAGTTCTTCAAATATTATGTATTATATACTTTTATTAGTCATTGCATATTACTTAACCTCTCACTTTCTCCTGTACATTCGTTTTACTTATTTTGCCTTCCTGATAATTACTTGTAAAAAAATTTTTTAAAAGCTCAAGCTCATATTTGGTCATAGAAGGTATTCATTTTAATTGCATTTAATGATTTAGTTTAAAGTATCATATTTTAATTCATAAAAATTTGTTATAATGGGTATAGGGTGTCGTAAAGACAGTATCGTAAAAATAATCATGTTTTAAGAAAGTTGGCACTTAAGAAAAATAGATTGAAATTATCCTGCAGACACAAACTAAAAAAATATTAGTGTTGCTGTTGCCCGTGCATGTGTACAAATATACCAAATGCCTTTGTCGTCACTCTCCGAGCTGCACGCATCTGTGCTGCTGAAACATGGAACCAGATAGAGTGAGTATACGGTAGTGTGGCTGAAGTGTCGGAAAGTCACTAATTGGCTCCGCTATTTTCGGAACTAAATAAAAAAAATAAAAAGCCGGAGATATGTATATGTATGCGTGTGAATTTGTATTTCTCTCTCCACCGCTTCTCTCACCTACGTCGTCCCGAAAATGGTGTCTTCAGCCACACTCCCTCATACTTACTTTAAAACCAGAATAAAAGTTCCCCCCTTCTTGTTTACTTCACGTGCTAACTCTCCGTCCTATTAAATCATGACAACAACTTGATATTTAGTCGATTTATAATAAATTTGTATCAAATAAAGTACATTACAAGAATTTTGAAATGTATAAATAACGATAAAAATTTGACCATTGAACTTCGATTATTACAGTATTATTAAATGTATCAATACATAATATCAAGAAATTAAATTAATTTCAGTTGATACACGACTAACTATATTTTACGCATTGTGACATTGATAAAAATAAATAATGAAAATTATAAAAAAATCCAATAGCCAAAAGTAGAAACATCTACATCAAATTACAAATATAGAAAAACTGCCTTATGACAAAATGATTTTTTTACGAAAAAATGGTCCACCGAAACATACATACAATAAATCAATAACTGCAAAATGTGGCACTATTGTAGTTTCTAATTTCCGGAAAATTTTGATTTATGCATTTACCCTAAAAAATTATCATATTACCATTCCAATAAAACATTTTAAAAAACTCACTCATTTTATTGGTCCGATGATATTTATAATATTTTCTCCTTAGAGAGATTAAGGCTGGAGTACTGGTTACATAGAAAACTACTTAATTGAAAATAAATAAACTTACTATGTTAAAATGTTATACACACATACTATATTACAGACAAGATGACGAAAATTTTAGTCCATTGTTGCATGGGGGAAGGTTGACTGAACAATTTTTTATATATTCCTACATGATAATTGAATACAACCATTTAAATGGTTGAAAATATAATCCAAAAATTAAAGAATTTGGTGTTCTGAAGGCTTATTTAGTGTAATTGTTTGTATTGTATCTAATATTTCCAAAAATTTTAAGATGAAGGTGAAAATCGAAAATCTTACATACTACCATCTACATACATCGGAAGTCCAAGATATATATAAAAGCAATATCAGGATACAATAACTATGGTAAGAAACCGTAGTGGACAGGATTTTTTTTTAAGTACCATGTAATTCTAAGTACAAAGAATTAAAATAAGTTTTATCTGATTTTCCTAAAAGTATGATACCAAATGATATTATAATAATAACAGTTAGATTATTTTACGTGAAATTACCATTAGTTTTTTATAATATCATTAAAAATGACATTTTTGGTAAAGTATTAACATAAGTTTGTACAATTAAATTTCAGAAATGTTGTCTACCTCGTGCACAGATTTTTATATGTTTATATCCTGAAAAAAAATTATTACTTTTAGTACAGATTTTTGTGTAAATTTTATGAATAATTTTTCAGGTAATTTAAAACTTACAAAATCAGTCATTAAACATATTCCTTACAGTCCTCAAACAGAACAGAGTCATTGTTTAATCAATACTAATCATAAAATTACAAGAAATTTTCCAAAACCTTTTTCAAACGTAACTACATTCAAAAAAAGCCTGATCTGCAACATAGAAGGGAAAAATAATATTCTTCAAATTCATACTTAGAAAACTTGGAAAAAAAAATTTTTTGGAAATAATTTAATGGATAAAGCTTATGATAAAATTGTACTTTATGATTAATTCTTATTGATGAAATATAAATTGTATTAACGTTGACTACTCTGAATCAGTACAAAGCGTGAAGTACATCTATGATTATATTTATCAACGTAGTAACAAAGTGCACATTGAAATCAAAAAATTGGAAGACTGAATGTACAAATATTTAATAAAATAGGAAGATCAATATTTCCTAAGATTGCATCATGTTGTTTTTAAGAACAAATTAATAAGCGTTTTTGTGAGGAGCAAGTCACTTAAATCATTAGTTAGTGAGTTAAGCTGTTCACCTTAAAAATGAACGCTTAATTATACTCGTAGAAAATAATGTTGAAAATATTATAAGAAACTACCAAACACAAGTAACAGCTTGATTTGAATTAAATAAACATGATTATTTTGCAAAATCAGTAGAATCTGTACAAAATATTTCATTTTTTATAATAAACTGAAAATTTAAGTAAAAAACAAAATGTAATAAAAAATACACTAAGTACATTTAACATGGTATCATCAAGAGATTACAAACGATATTTTTCAAACCGTTATTAAATAAAATAAAGGGTACAATATCCTTTGAGTATATTAAATCATAAAATCGATTATGATTGTCAAATTGATGATATTTTGAAATAAGCAATACTGTTGAGTTTTTTTTATCAATTATGAACTTTTTTGCATGGTTTTTAATGTTTTAATCACTCTTTATTTCGTATTGGAGATACGACTTGGCAGACCTGCCGATATATATAATTTAGGAATTCGAGCGACCTGGAATTCCGATTTAGTGGTCTTCTTGCGAGCACGCCGTTTTTTCTGCCTCAGCCTTTAGTTTCATCGATCCTCTCTCCTTTTTTCGCGACAATCGAGCCTTCGAGCCAGCCGCCGTTCTCTCTCTCTCCAGCCCAGGCAGAGAAGGGAGGGAGGACGCACAGTGCGGCGAAACAGACT